ACTAGCTAGTGCTGCAGAATCACCAAGATTCAGTCCATCTGATCAGATCCAAAGGGGCCTGGATTACTTATGAATTACTAGGAGTACAGATTCCCCAGAAACCATTCCAGGACTTTATCTATCGGCTTACAGCTCAGGCTTAACCAACTCAGGATTTCCTGCCCTCAAGCCCAGAGCAGGTATAATGTTCTGGATAGTTTAAGTCTAGCCCTCCAGATCCGCCCTGTCCCGAGAGGCTAACCTCTGTGGATGGTATTAACAGGGGTCCTTTTTCCTCTACCTTGCAGTTGAGTGTAGCTCCTGGGAGAAATGGCAGGAGCAAGGAGGCAGGGTCACCAACTGTCCTGGTTTGCAAGATCTATTCTCTCGGCTTCCTTCTCCAGGTCATGTTTCAGAGTCCCTACTTTTCCCTGCTCAAGGCAGCAGTGTCCCTTAGCTACAGGGCTTGAGTGCCCAGGGATCCACACTTCTCATCCTCCCAGGCCAGTTTTCTCAGGCAATAAGAGCCACACGCTTATGCCAGCCATAGAATGCTTTCTCCCTTCCCTGCCTTCTGGCTTCCCTTTCCCTGACACACCTGTGTACTCCTAGACATAGCAAGGGAAAATGAGACATGGAGACTGTATTTTGATTTTAAAAAAGGAAAAAAAGCCCAAACATTCTGCAATTAGCAGTAACAGAAGTTCTAACATTCTGCAATTAGCAGTAACAAAAGCCCTAACAGTCTGCAATTAGCATTGCTGAGATAGTCAGCAGAAGTGTAGAGAAATATGAATGTGAAAATAAACAGTGTGACTTGGGGACAAAGACTCTAAAGAAGATGCAGGAAGACTATATTCCTTACCTCCTGTCACCTAGCGAAGTTCAAGTCAGGGCACTCGCCTCACCTCCATGGTGGGCAACACAATGCTCCATGCAGATCCCTCTTTGGAACTCTCACTCCAAACCCCCCCTCCCTGGGGTTGTGCCTCTCATTGTGCACCGCCCTTGGCTGCAAAATCTCCTTTGATTTTAGCATCAAGAAGGGAAACAGGTAAATTTCAAGGTGAGTGAGAAAAGTTTTAAATATTAGAAATAGTTTAAATGTTTGATAATTAAACATTTAAAATAGTTTAAATGTTTGAAAGCCAACAAGAGCACTGGAATCTCAAAGCAGGGATGTAAAGGCAGGTAGGGTTAGTAACCATCAGTTTATCATGGTGCTAACTGGTGCAGGCACGAGGCTCATTGGGACAGGCATTGCCCGGAACAAGAGACATAATGCACTCCTTCTGGCTTGGTGTCTGCACTGTAAGGGCAACCAAAGATCATGGTGAAAGAATGAAGATGGCTTGTAAGGCTGTGTCAAAAGAATGGAAAATCATTGAATATACCCTAGTGTGAGCTCATGAAAATGTAGAAGGACCTTAGTGTGGAATACGGACAAAGAATGGTTACCAATGGAAAGGAGATCCCAATAGAGTCGAGGAACAGGTGATGGGGATAGGAAGGTTTGGGCAGATAGTGGGATGACTAATTTGTGATTTTGGAGGGGGAGCATTTTCAGCTCATGAGCAAGAACAAGGAATGGGACAGCCACAGGAGAGCAGAGCAAGAACTAGAAAAGAAAGACTCATCTTGGAGTTGGGTAAACATGCTTTAGACAGGATGCAAAAGACATGTAATGTAAAAGAAAAAAATGATAAATGAGACTTTTTTTTTAAAGATTTCATTTATTTATTTGACAGACAGAGATCACAAGTAGGCAGAGAGGCAGGCAGAGAGAGGAGGAAGCAGGCTCCCTTCTGAGCAGAGAGCCCCGATGCAGGGCTCGATCCCAGGACCCTGAGATCATAACCTAAGCCAAAGGCAGAGTCTTTAACCCACTGAGCCACCCAGGCGCCCCGATAAATGAGACTTAACAAACATGTTAAATTTCAGCTCATCCAAAGGCAACATAAGGAAAGCTCATAGGCAAACCACCGTGGGAAAAGAGACTCCGCATATTTAATGGTCCAAAGACTCCTACCTAGAACATAAAAATATGTCTTATGAAGCAATGGTATAAAGACAACCCATTTTCTTAAAAATGAACAAGTATAAAAGCAGGCACTTTACAAGAGAAAACAGGAAGATGGAAATGGCCAAAAAGCAAACAAACATCATCACTCATTGGTGAAATGCAAACAAGATCCCACTGCACTCCCCATAGAATGGCCAACAACAAAAAGATGGAGGTCATCAAATGCTGGTGAGAATGGGGAGCCCTGGGAACCCTCCCTCCCTCAGTATTGTAAATTGGTCAGTCTGAAAACCTGTTCAACTGTTTCTAATGAAGTCAAACGTGCATCTACCCTACAAATCAGCAATTTCACTTTTCTGCCTACACCTGAAAGAAATAAATGCATTTAGCTACAATTACTTGTACAAAAATGTTCAGAAGAGCTTTATCCGTAATAGTTGAAGCCTGGTACAACCCAGATATCCATCCAGGTGAATGGATAAACAAATCCCGGTATATCAATGCACTGGAATACCACACAGTAATAAGAATAAACTATGGATAAACCCAACAACATGAGTACATTTCAAAAATATTAATTTTTGAGAAAAAGAAATCAACTGAACAAGAGCATTGACTATATGGTTCCATTTATATGAATGTCAAGCTCAGAACTGTCAAAAAGATAAGTTTTTTGGAAATAGTTGAGGAAGCCCACTTCAGGATACACAGACTGTATCATGCTCCAGGAGAGGCCATGGAAGGTTTGCAGTGGGCTGTTCTCACGGGCAGAGGATGGAGACAGCAGAAAGCTCAGTTAGGTCTGTTAAAATCAAATACAGAGGGAGACGATCTTTGAAAATACAGACAAAACTCATCTAGTCAGACATACAAAGCTTAATTCAGCTTATTTTGTAAGACCAACACGACCTGGGTCATTTCTTGTTTATGCCTCTGGAAATCATAAGCAAAAATTTCCCAAGAGTGATAGGAGGTAACCCCAGATCAACTCCCTAATTTAAGAAAATTTCAACATTGTTAGTTTTCTATGACTCAGGCATTTATGGGAAATCAATCTCTCAGTCCTTACATTTTGTTTTTCTGAAGGCACATGCATGAGATTTTCCATTTTATATCCTCCTGGTTCCGTTTTAGATTGAAATTCTTTCCCAAGAAGTTCAAGTATAAACAAAATGTGGTGATAAAAATCAGAAAAGTGCTTAGCTCTGGGAAAGAAATTGATTGGAAATGCACACAAGGAAACTTTCTTGGGTGATGGAAATGTTCTTTATCTTGATTTTGGTCATGGTTGCACCAGTGTAGACATTCATCAAAATTTACCAAGCCATCCATGTATCATGTATTAATTTGAGTCTTTTTACTCTCTACTAATTATACGTTAATAAGTTATTACTTAAGCATAAGTCAGTGAATTTCCTAAAAGATGGGAGATATATATAATTTTATGCTTGCGTTCCCCATGCCCAATTGCGTGATGAACCACACACAAGTAAGAGAAGACAAGGACACTCACATACACAAAACACTGAGAAACGTGACGCGTTCCTGGAGACTGAAACATATAGCACCCAAATTTGGCATTAAAATAAACTAAACTAATAAGTTTGCTAAGAAGTAGCTGAGGATCACGGCTGAGTTTTTGAGGGTCAAAAATGTAAAAAAAAAAAAAATCCTCCAGTATTTTAGAGATTATTCTATGAATCTTGAACTGTTGTAAACTCCATGGTTTGGAAAATTGGTCATTTATCAGTTTCACCATTCAGCATCTCATTAGGCTTTCAGCAGCTTAGCTGCCGTGGCCAGTCTGTTGATTACTTTTCCAGGCAAGCAGCCTCTACCTCTCTCTGCAAGCAGGTCCTGGGTGAGCCAGCAGCACCCTTGCAGGCTCAGGGGTGTACAAAGGGAGCATGTGACCAGGGGTGTGCAGCTCATGGTGTTTGCACTTCCTGTAAAATCCAACTATGGAAGCCCAGTCTTGGAGTTAATGGATCCCAAGCCAGGCAACGTTGATTTTGGGTTGACTCTACCTCTAAGGAGTCAAGGAAGGAAATGGGCTGTGGAGAGAATAAAATTATTGCCCAATATCGTTTTGTAATGTTTTACAAGGAAAAACCCAGGGAGCTCATGAATCTCCCACCAAGCCAAAGGGGTGGTGAGAAATCGGTCCCTTCCTTAAGCTACCCTCCCTGAGCCTCAGAAGACTCAAACCACTGCCCTACAGCCACAGGTAGAGACTTAGTTTGTAGTCCCTTTGGTTGTAATGATGCTGTTTGATGCATCTACTAACGTTTCCCTAAGTGGCTTGTTTACTTGTGTGTTGTTGTTTTTCTTTTAAAGATTTTATATATTTATTTGACAGAGAGAGATCACATGTAGGCAGAGAGGCAGGCAGAGAGAGAGAGGAGGAAGCAGGCTCCCTGCTGAGCAGAGAGCCCGATATGGGGTTCGATCCCAGGACCCTGAGATCATGACCTGAGCTGAAGGCAGAGGCTTTAACCCACTGAGCCACCCAGGTGCCCCTACTTGTGTGTTTTATAACTAGTTATTAAGAGGTTTTGTTTGTTTGTTTGTTTTCCTCCAGAGAATTTTTGCAGAGTATGCAATGGTTTTGACCCCAAGGCAACTTTCTGTAATAGTTTTAGATCTGGAGAATCCCAGACCATTCAGGGAGTTTAAAACTGCTCAGCTGCTTTCTGCTTTGTTCCTGTTCATTGAGAAGAAAGTGAAATATTAATTTCACATGAGATGCTACTTGATCCTCTGTTTTACTCAATTCCCAGAATATTCCAGATTGCATGGAATAACATTAGGAGCTCTCCCCCGGCACATGACGGAGCACAGTTCACACTGAGGGCCATCCTGCTCAGCGTCGGGGTAGGGTGAAAGCCTCAGTAAGGGCAGTTTTTCCCTCATCATGAGGCAGGGACTCAGGAAGGAGTCTCCATGCTTGCAGCTGAGTTTTTGTGCAGAGAGCAGCTGGCTGAGTGATGCTGTGGATTCACTGCTGGCACAGAGGTACACAGAGGTCTGGTTGGTGCTGGCAGACTACAGGGTCAGGGGGAAATGCTTCTGCTCCTTTCGGGAGACACTGTACCCTTCAGCAACATCCCCTTTGGTAGTGCTTGGGCTACCACTTGAATAATAGATCAGCCTCAGCCCCTGTCCTGGGTCTTGTCGATACCAGAACATTGCAAAATGGTTCATATCCTGAGAACACTCCAGGGTCTTCTCGGTTCCTGTTTGTATAATGCTGTATCTTGGCATCTGGGTGACCTCAGCATCCATGGGACCTGTTGGCAGAGGCAGACAGAGGGGAAGGTGAGGCTTAAGGAGTAAACTGCATCTGCAAAAGAAAGGGAAGAGCTTGGAGCTGGGATTTTGCAAAACCTTGGCACTGATTTCCAGCTGGGTCCAGAACTCACCTGCTCCCAGCAGCCAAAGAGTCACACAAAAGAGGTTGAGGTTCATGGCAGAGGCAGGACAAGAAGAGGGCTGTCCCACCTAAATCCTTTCATCCACAGGACTGAGAAAGGGAGCTTGGAAGCTCTTCTCCAATGCACAAATGAGTCTCCGTGGGATGTCACTGCATCCCACCCCTGCAGATTGTCTGGCCCAGGGTCCCTTCTGACTCAGCTCAAGTAGGGTCAGCTACTCCTCTCCTAACATTCTTTAGCAAGGCCTGCAGGGGAGATGGGGTGTGGCTGTGGTACACGGAGTTTAGGGTACACCACACCCCCTCAGTTTCCCATATTCCTCTGAGACAGTTGCTCCTCTGCACCTGCCCCTGGTGTCAAGGCTGCCTTGCCCAAATCCTTCAACTGTGGAGCTCATTAGGGTTTAGAGGGACCTCCCACCTCTTCCATAGCTAGGTAGCCGAGCAATAATTGAAAACTTCTTCCACATCTGCCTGATATTGGATCCAGGCCTAAGTTTTTCTTAACCCTTTCCTTTCCTTGGCTGCTCTCCCAGCTGTCCCTCAGAGCCCCTTTGATGTCAGTGGCGTCACAGTGCCATCTTGTGGCCAATGATTGCAGTTTCACCATCGCCTCTTCTGCAATGGCCCAAGGGATGCTGGGAAGTGCTGCAGAGTCAGCAGGGAGACTATCCCAGAAGTAGCATCCTGCAAATTTTATGCTCAGTTTCCTGAAACCCTAATCTGAACACCAACGCCTAATCCTGACTCTACTCCTTTGAGCTACCATGCATAATCTCCCACCCTTACTAAACAACTATCACATATCTGACAGTTAAGCCTAAATGAAATCTCCTTCAAAGCTATCTCATAAAAGGGAGAGGGACAGAATGGGAGGTATGGAAGAAAATAGTATTTAGTCTAAAATAGGAAGGAAAATGCAGAAGATTGAAGTGTAAGGAGGTTCTTTTATCTCTGTTACTAGAAATAAACAAAGATGCCCCTTCCACCACCAAAGGGCCCCTCCAAAATACAGATCCACGGAAGACTAGGGATACAATGAGATTACCTTCAAGATGGGGTTCAGTGTGTGTCAATAAAAAGTAATATCGGAATATAAGAAAAATACAAGACATCTTATAAGATAATATGGAATCAAGGAGGATGCAATATCTAATGGGAAAAATAAGGATGGATGGAATTAAAATAAGCAAAGGATCATCTACACTAAATGGATAGTTTGTACAAAGTACATCTGCTCATTTAGGCAGCAGGGAGTGAAGAGAGTATTATAAGGAAGCTGAATCTGCCAGGGTTGTGTGGAGAAAGGTGGCAAAATTGGAGACAAGGTCCAGGGAGGAAGTCCCCAGAATGCCATTCCAAGGATAAGGAACTCCTAACTGTGCCCTAGACCTTCTCATTCCCACAGACACAGGGCAGCAGCGCAAACAGTGCTTTGCTGATACCACAATTAAAATAAGACCAGGGGTACCTGGGTGGCTCAGTTGGTTAAGCGTCTGACTCTTTATTTTGGCTCAGGTCATGATCTCAGGTCCTGGGATCAAGCCCTGCTTAGGGCTCCATGCTAGGAGTGGAGCTTGCTTAAGATTCTCTCTCTCCCACTCTAAAAATAAATAAATAAACAAATAAATAGAGGGAAAAATAAGACCAGGAAAACCCCCTTCCAAGGACACTCATTCTCTGGAGAAAGATATTTGGTATCCTGAGCTACCACAATTCTGAGTAGATTTGGGGTGACCGTAACCCCCTTGCCAGCTATGCAAGGCTCAGGACACCTCCATCATCACTGAGTCTGTGACATTCTGTCCCAGTCTAGGAGTCCTGGGCTATCTCCTCAGGACACCCAGAAACCCATGATCTGTGATCCTATGAACCCAGAGCATGGCTTTAGATTTCATAGACCCAATCCACAGCTTCACGCACTCCAGTGGAAGATGTTATTACTGCATAATTATTTATATTTATAACAGGTAACAATATAACAATATATAATACAGCAAATAAAACAAGTAAAAAGGAATAGGGGCACTATTATAAAGAAAATATCCTGTCTTCTCACATCAGAGAATTCGAGGAAATAATTTCAACTCAGAAGGCTTGGGTATCGAAGAAAACACACCATCTCTAGGAATCTCAGAGTCACTCAGGGCATCAGGGTAGGTGAGGTTGGGGAAGCCCATTCAAGTGCTGTGGGCTCACTGCCAGGACCCGCAGTGCTGGAAAAATGACAACAAACAGAGACAGGGAGCCTCCCAAACTGGTCAGAGGAATTGAGGTCTTCTCGTTGTTATGGGGCTGGTCCTTCCACCACCACAAAAGCAGTGAAGACCAAACATGAAGACAGGCTGCTAATCTGTTGCTGAAGGTTTCCAATGTTTCAGGGACAGAAGAGGCTTTAGAGGAAAGAATGTGCCCAAGAAGGTGGTGAGGAACTTTCCACATGCTCAGCTACAAATCTGTGCAGACAAGGAGGTGTGTCCGCTAAAAGAAGCCTCAGGTTCTGTAGCAGACCCCTTGTGTCCCCGACCATCAGTCCTGGGCTTGTAGCTGTACTCTGGCTCTGGGACTCCTGGAACCCAATGAGTCAGAATGGTTTCATCCACCAACATTTACATGCATTTCGGGAGTTTATCTAGAGTCTCTTCCTAGCCAAAGGACAGCTGATGTCCAAATCTACTTCTTGTCCATCAGGGAATGAAGAACAAAGGGCAGACAGTTTAGGGGCTCCAGCTACAGCAAGGGGAGAGGAGTCTGAGGTTTGTGAGGAGCAAGGAGGTGATGGTGCCCCACTGTGGTGGGACTGCTGGCACAGAGGTACACAGCCGAGTCCCCCTGCTCTGCACGCTGGATCTGCAGAGTGGAGCGGGTCCCCTCAGACCTCTTAGCAGAGAACCGATCATTGGTCATCCCTGATTTGTCCAGTGCCTCCTTGTTTTGGAAGTAAACCAAAAACTCCGGGCCTTTCCCTATGGTCTGTCGGTACCAATAAAGGACAACATGACCAGAAATGGGATCACAACTGAGAGTTACATTTTGGCCCCTCTTTGTGACCCTGTGCCTGGGAAACTGGGAGACTCCGGGTCCTGCGTGACCTGTGGAGACAGAAGTCGGGCACAGTCAGGAGAAATGGATTGTCCTCCTGGCATGTAATCATTGCTCACACTCACACACAAGCATTCACTGAAACCTCTTGGTGTTCCGAAGACTCACCTTCCCCCAGGAGACAGAGGGTCACCCAGCAGAGGAGCCTGGGGTCCATGGTGGAGTCAGGGCTGGGCTGGGTGGTTCATCAAATAGAGGTTTTCGTGAGCATGAGCCGAGAAGGAGGGAGTTCCCTTGTCTGCACAAGGCAGTTCTCACAGTGACATCACTACCTCTGTCAATTCCCCCAACCTCAGGGGACATGATTTATGTTATAACATACGTGGATGACTAATTTATTTATAAGCTCCTTTCTTAACAAAGTCAATGCATAGGTTGTCCTTTTCAGCTCCAGTGCCGTCTGGAGGCAGTGGCCTCACACTGTGTTATCTTCTCCTTCACCCATCACACCTCTGTCTGCTGGGCATCATCACTGAGATGTGTCAACAGCACCTTTAATACAAGGGACTAAAGGGGAATTCATTGTCTCATCTGCAAGTCAGGATCTCAACTATTCTATCACCACCCCTTCCATTCTCTCAGTGACACACACTCAACATTATCCATTTTGTGGGCAAGAATGGGCACTGGGGCAGGGGGGGTGGGTCTCAATTTCACCCTAGAAGTCTCTTGAATGCACTGACTTATTGAGAGATACAGGGATGAAGAGATGCCCTGGGAAGCTACCTGAGCTGGCAGCTCCTCTTCATTCTGCAGGTCAAAGACTGTTGTTCTCCCTGTGTTCACTAGTCTTTGTGTAATGTTATGTCCCCCCAGCCCACAGCAGAGCCTCATGCCATAATAAGTCACCAGATATTACAAATTAGGTTCTTTCTAGCTTATTTGTGGAAGAAGACTCAACCTCATTGACCTTCAACACTGGTGTATAACATGGAATCATATCATGGTAAGAAACCTAGGAAGCTGTGTTATAGTTAATTTAATTCTCCCTTTGTGAGCAGAACTTCTCATTGTTCTCTAGCCATTAACGTCTGTCCACTTTTATCAGTGGGTTCACTGGAGTTACAAGCATCCTTTCCTTCAGAGAGAGAATGAGAGCAGAGAGGACTGGATGGGTGGGAGCAAGGTGCTGGGGTCAGGGAGGATGACTGTGGCTCTCCACTGCTTGCCCAAGAAAACACAGCCGAGTACCCCCTAACTGGGAAGGCCACTCAAATGCACGCAGTAAAAACGTTTGGTTGACTTGTTGGAACGTTGTCAAAAGGCTCTGCTTCACGGTTTCACTATTCTCACTCAAGTGTTACTGCTCATCTCTTTCTTGTGACTGGGTGTTGGAGGGTCTGGGTGACCCGTCTGTAGAGCCAGCAGGTGAAGGAGACAGTCCTACAGATCTACTTGGGAAATGACTACAGTCTAAGCGAAGTGGACTCAGGGATAAAACATCTTTCCATGTGCCTGGAATTGCTTCCAAGATACAAAGAACAAGTGTGTATAAAATCATGGAGCCCATGGTAGGGAGACGCCAGCACCGGGTATCTCTACTTCCCTGACGAGGGCTCTGGTCCTAGGACATGGAACCCTGCTCCAGTTCACCATAGCTCACACAATGTGTTGGAGAGCTCCCTTTTTCTATTCTCTAGAATATTTTGTACAAAATTGAAATTATCCATTATTTGACCAATTTGTAAAATTGGACTATAAAAGTATCCATGCCTGGTGTTTCGGGAGATGGGTAGGCATTAGCTATTGATTAGGTTACATTATTATTTCATACATCCTCATTTCTTTCTAATTTAATGACGATTTTCATAGTGTTCTTTCACAGTTTGAGCTCTGTTCTATTTTTAGCTATCTTTTTTTTTGATGTTTAATGTTATTTTTATCGTCCTTCTTTTCTCATCAGTCCTGCTTACAGTGCTCATTTCCAAAGCAGTGGCTGTCATTGTTGAGTTTCATGAATGTATTTTGTTTTTTGTTTCACCTATTTTTGTTCTTTATCTTTAGGATTTTGCTTCTTCTACGTTTGGGTTAAGTTATTCTGTTCTTGTCCTATGTCCTCAACTTGATATTTACATGATTACTTTTGGAACTCTTAAGTCCTTTGCATCTATAAATTTTCCTCTAAGTACAACCTTCGTATTCTGAGTATCTCTTATTTCTAAACATTAAAAATTCCTATTTAGATTTCTGGTAAAATCTCAGGATTTATTTAGGATTATGTTTTTAAACTTCTAAATATGAGTTGTTTGGCTTTTTTTTTTTTAATAAAGGCTACTTTTTGTTTTTTATTTTCGTCTTCAATGTATTGTTATCAGAAAATGTGGTCTCTGTGATACCAGCACTTAAAAACTGATTGCAAGAAAAGTCTGCAGTCAGGACCCAGAAGATCTAGAACAGAGAGACATGCTAACTATGTCCACCATTCATCTGGGAAACAGGTGTGCCCAGAAGTGGCCGGCCACTCACAGGGACCTTGAACATGAGCATGAGTGGGAGTCAGCCATCACAAAAAGGAAGAGTCTATGCCCAGTGCAAGGAAATAGAGTTGGAGTTCTCTGAGATGGGAAGGGATGTGGCAGAGATGAGAGCCAAGCAGTGTGGTGAGAACAGAGAGGGCCAGAGAGCTGTGCAATATAGGCCCAGAGGTGGGGAGACGACAGACCTGGCAGGGCCTTGTAGGGGGACTGACCCGATGGGAAAGGCTGGCAGGAGCAGAGTCTATACCAGGGCATTAGAGAGGGATGCTGCTGAGGTGCCAGGGAGGGACAAGAGGGTCTCGATGTATCTGATTTAACACTATATTGTTCATAATACATTGTATTGTTTATACAAACACCTTCCCAGCTAGAGAGGCAGCTGCTGAGCACAGAGAGAACAGAGGTGGAGACATAGCCACCTGACAGCTGGGCAGGTCCAGGCCAGGCTGAGAGTGCCCTGGAGTTGGGTCTCAGCACACACTGAGGTTCACCCTGTATGCACAGACCACTGCAGTTTCCAGGGCTTCTGGGCTCCTGGGAGTGTGCAGAGGGCTCTGCTGAGTCCCAGGGCATGGGACCTCCCCCTTCTTTTTTTTGTGCAGAGAGGAGGCAGCTGGGCAATGCTGTGGGAACACTGCTGGCACAGAAGTACACAGATGTCTGGGAGGGGGTTGTGGACAGCAGCTTGAGAAGGAAGATCATTATATTTGGCCTAGAGGCACTGTATCCATCCGGGACTTCTCCATTTGTAGAGGTGCCAGCACCGACTGAGTAATGGATCAGCCTCAGCCCATGTCCATGGTCTTGTCGATACCAGTACATGGAGTTGTGGTTCATATCCTGGTGACATTTCAGTGTCATGTTCTGTCCTGTCCCCAGGACCTGGAATTTGGGGGTCTGAGTGATGCCAGCATTCAGCGACCCTGTGGGGAAGGAGATAAAGCTGATGTCACAGACAAAACGGAAAGGCTTAGGGATGGGACCTTGAAATTTTCACCCAGGAAAGGGACCCAGGACTTGCCTGCCTGTAGAAGACAAAACACCACACAGCACAGGCGGCTGACGCTCATGGCAGGGGCAGGGCTGATGGAGGGGTCTTCTGGGTCTGTGGGCTGCTGAGCCTGGGAGGGGGCTCTCCAGGGAGTCATTCTGAGATGTCACTCTTCCTGCCTGGGCCCCAGAGCCAACCGTCGAAGGGGCCACACCCCTTCTGCAGAGGGTCAAAGAGAAACATCAGAGTACAAGAGCCCAGGATGGGAAGAAAGGACTTGTCTGAATTGACACAGGTCTTACAAGTCAATCTTCATCTTTTTGTGAAACAATATGTAACCTTATGTACATTCTATTCCTGTGGCCTAATCTCTCATCAGTGCACTGGTTTCACGTATGCATGTAAAGCCTATCTCTGTAGTTTTGAATTGAGGAAAATTCCTTAGGGCTTCCTGATACCTTTTATGACTCATGTGTCCCAGATACTCCTTTAAGTATCTGTTTCCTCTTCGCTTCGTTGACCACCATCCCGTTAACGTCCTTCCAGCTACAATTCTCCTGGTATCTGGTTTCTAAACCTCAGGGTCAGGCTCATCAACTCTTGAGGAGCTGTTTGGCTCTGTTTCTTATCAGTTCACTAACGGGACACCTGCCAAATGTAACCAGAGCACCTTTGTGCTCAGTAGGGCTCTTACTTCCCGTGTTTGGGGTGAGACAGTGGCAAGCAGAAACACCTCCAGCCTGGGACTGACGTTTCTCTGTGGAAGATGAGGTCCGCTCATAGGCGCAGATGACACACAGGCACAAAGGCATTCAGATGTGTGAGGGACGGTAGAGAGATGATAGCCTCCAGGGTAAGTGCAAAATGTTCTGGTTTTTTTGTTTGGTTGTTTTTTAAGCTGAGACTTCCATCCCATGGGGAACACCTTCTTGTGAGGAACAGCTTCCATTAATTAATAAAGGAAACAAAACTCAGAAACTATATCCCATTGCCCACAGTCCCACGCTTAGAAGGACCCCATACCGTCTTCAGCGCTCTGTTGTTGTGATCTTCAAATTCTTAATAATAGTTGAACCACAGGCTCTGCAAATCACGTAGCCAGAGCTGGGCATGATTCTGTGTCTTCTGCCGTGCTGGTTTCATTCTAGCACAATCACACATCTGGGGACTCAGTGAATCCGCATCTCTGGGGGGTGGGAGAGGACACAGAAACTAAAACTGGAACCGAAGGGAAGCCTGATGTTATAACCATAATGTCAAGCCTTGAATTGGGACCTGGCAGGCCCAGGAGTGGGTTTCACATCTGCGCCTGGGACTTTTCTGGTCCGAGAGACAGAAGAACACACGATGCACGACAATGGTTGCAGGAGAGGCCGGAAGAGAAAGGGGGATTTTTCCAGGTCAAGGCTCGTGTTCTGAGGGTTCGACACTGGGTCCAGGCAAAGGGAACCCTTCTGCCAAGATGGAATGATCTCTCAATGATGTCACCATTGCCTGTGGCCTGCTCAGCCTCAAGATGCCATGTGTGAACAGGAAGCCCAGCTATGTATGCAACTGATAGGAACACAACATAATTTCCTTGGAGATGAAGACTTTTGGTCAAAACTTCATTATAAAATAATTGGAATGAATGGGTTCAGGAGAGAAGAAATTAATTAAAATGAGTAAATAAATTTTATAGAAATAACTTCAAGCAGCTAGGAAGAGCTTTCGATGATCATTTTATCAAATCATCTATCTGCAGATAGAATTGTCCCGAACATGGATCCTGTATCACACATGATTTCAAGCATTTCTTAACCATAGAACTTTGCAAAAGCACCTCCCTCTCTTAAATATATTTAGCTGTGTACTAAAGAGGAATTGTTTTAATGGGTAGGAACCTTATTTTTTTTTTCAGATTTTATTTATTTACTTGAGAAAGAGAGAGCACAAGGTGGGAGGGAGAGCAGAGGGAGAGGGAGAAGCAGGGATCCCAGCATGGGGCTTGATCCCAGGACCCCAGAAGCACAACCTGAGCTGAAGCAGATACCTAACTGACTGAGCCACCCAGGCGCCCCTAGGTAGAGACTTTAAATATCCATTAAAAAGATGCCTGAGCAAAAATAATCTATTGCAGTAGAAATCATATCATTAGTTTGTCAGGGTTGGAGACAGGAGTTGCAAAGGGGCATGAGGGAAATTTCTGGGTAATAAAAAATGTTCTATAGCTTAGTGTGGGGGGTGTTACATGGGTATATACGTATAAATCGCCAAAAAAACATTGATCTGATCATTTAAAGTGTGTAATGCTTATTGTATATAATTCATTTGTCAATAAAGTTGATGTCAAAATGTTTGAGAAGGGATGTCATGTGCTCTAGTTAATTTCATAATGAATCATCAGGCATAAATATTTCCATTTCTGTGCCAGCTATAGGAGTTCTAGGTAAAATGTGTCCATACCCACCTTTGTACAAAAGAAACAGTGGAAAAAGCTGTCAGAGAGATTAGCAAAAGGAATCAAGATATCCAGATTCTTACTATGTGCTTGGTAGGTATTTTATGCTTATTAAATGTTTATGTAGCCCTGGAAGTTGGTACGATAGCTAGTTTTACGTGTTAACCTGACTGGGCCGTAGGGTACACAGATACGTGGCTAAACACTGTTCTGGGTGCTCCTGAGAGATATGATTAATTTTTAAACAGGTAGATTTTTTTTGGTGGGATGTTGGTGGGAATAATTTTCTGATTTAATAATTTGAAAAACATATTTATAAACCCATATACGTAGAATAAATGGAAAGATATGGAGAAGATGGTCCATGATAAAAAAAAAAAATGTGGGTCTGTTTCGGTCCATCCCAGCTTTTATGTAGTCCCTCACTTGTTAATTCAATCTTTTTTTTTTTTTTTAAATTGAGGAGACTTGATCATCTGACCACAGTGCCTCTGAAAGCAAGAGCCCAGAGCTCTGTTTCTTTCTTTTTTTTTTTAAATTTACATATAATATATTATTTGCCCCAGGGGTTCAGGTCTGTGAATCATCAGTCTTACACATTTCATAGCACTCACCACAGCACATATCCTCCCCAATGTCGATAACCAAACCACCCTATCCCTACCTCCACCCCTTAGCAGCCCTCAGTTTCTTTCCTGAGATTAATAGTTTCTTATGGTTTGTCTCCCTCTCCAGTCCCATCTTGTTTCCTTTTTTTCCTCCCTACCCCCCATGACTCTCCCGCCCTGCCTCTCAAATTCCTCATATGAGTGAGATCATATGATAATTGTCTTTCTCTGATTGACTTATTTCGCTTACCACAATACCCTCTAGTTCCATCCACATCGTTGCAAATGGCAAGATTTTGTTTCTTTTGTAAATAGGTAGATTTTAACATTAGGTGAGAATAACCTTTTAATCAACAGAGTAAACCAGATTGCCATCCATAATGTAGGTGAGCCGCATCCAATCAGTTGAAGACCTGAATAGAACAAAAAGATGTATTCTGCCCCAGGTAAGAGAGAATTGTCCAGCTGATGGCCTTCAAACTGGAGAATCAGCTCTTCCTGCTTAACCTCTGAATTTGAATCTCTGCTCTCCCTGGGTCTCTAGCACCACCGGCCCAACTTACAGATGTTGGACTTATCAGCCTCTACAACTATATGAGCTGATTCTCTAGAATACCTAAATTATACACATACGTGTGTGTGTGTGTGTGTGTGTGTGTGTGTGTGTGTATTCTGCTCTGTTTCTCTGGAGTACTCTGAGTAATACTGATAGATATTACTACTCTCATTTTATCCGTGAAAATTCTCCGACCATCATGTCAAGAAACTGGCCTCGGGTCTTGACTAGCAGGTTGTGCTGGAGCTGGAACCTAGAGCTGAGTGTATATAGAGCTCCTAGTCAGATGTCTTTCTCCACACCCCTTTATCCTGGGGAACTGATCTCTGTCAATGATTTCATCAGAGCCAGCCAGGCTGAAAAGGACATGGAGGAAAGTTCTGGCTTTGAGGGCAGGTGTCTCTATGAATATGCATGACAGCATAGAGCTGTAAACACAGCACATCACTCAAGAATCCATCAGACGGGGTTTGAGCCCCACTTCTGCCTCTGACCAGCTCTTTGATTTGCTCAACTTCTTTAACTTAAGCACAACTCCCCTCATCTTTCAAATGAGAACAGAAATTGCATTTGTCTCTTAGGCTTTTTTTCTTCTTCTGATAATTCATGGAAATTTTGCAAATAAAGGACTTTTATTTGGCATGTAGTAAATTGTCGATACATGACAATGCTATTTTCTTTTGGGAGTCTCCACCTGCTGCAGAGCTGAACTGTGTCTGGGCATGCGTATATTGGGCCCTTGGAGTTTTGTGAGTCACTTGCTCTCATGGGACAGGGGGACCCAATAGAAATCACCATATATTTAAGATAAATATTATGCATTTATACTGCAGACCTTAAAACTCTCAAAGGCAAGAAACATACTAAACTAAAAAGAACATACTAAGCTGCATTTTCTATTTTAAGTGATATAGTACTTTACACAAAGTAGGGGACCTCAAACTGTGGAGTGAAAGAAAGGAAGGAATAAATAATGAGCTTTGATGGTCCTTTCCCTCATGGTAGATTGCAGAGTGTATGGGAACACCAAGCTTTTCCTTGTACACATCCCATTCCTTCTGCTGTGCAGCTGGACGAGCACATCTAGAAACCTCCCAACTCACACAGCCTCTGCCGGAGACATGACATGACCTAGGTCCATGCCCTGCAGAACACTGCCCCTTTCTCTCTCTCTTTTTGTTATTTTTATTTTGTTGTTGTTGTTACAGGGAAGGATCAATGGCTATTCTTCGCCTTGAAGTCACATTCCTTGAAGTTGTCAGAGGGAAGGTTAGGATCATCACCTGTGGTGGGTGATCTTTCCCACCCTGCTCACCTGGACCTGGGAAGGGAAGCCCGGGGAGGGAACGATTCCATAAGGGGGCAAGGAGCCCAGGTGTCAAGGAACAGAACTGTTCCTCGCTCTGCCAGTTCTGAAATAGAAGACCCAGGAAAGCTACTTCCCCTCATATATGTAAACAGGTAACATGATACGT